CACATATGCTATTCAATATTGCCACAGATAGACAGTAATCATGCATTTGAAAGTTGCATCAATAGACAAATGTAAAATGATATTATCTGGGTAATATTTCTATAAGAGAATACTTCCAGCTGTCCACCATGAAATACCTCATAACCTCTTCTATTGTTGAAAAGGAAGTAGAATTCTCCAACCTCCCATATGGGGGGCCTTGATTGGTCTTGAATCTTGAGGTACAAATGTTTCGGTCACTGCTTAAGGAGTGTGAGTTTTACTCTTATATAGACAGGCTTATGGCAAGCTTTATTTAAAAAAAACTTTATTGGAATAATCTCAAACCTATTCTGCTAATTCTCATCAAGGAATTCTTACTAAGAGAATTCTGGGAACCCCTGAAGGGATACCAATTAAATCCAGGTTGCAAGAAATTATGCTGGGCCTGCCTGGTATGAAACAAATTACATTGCCCAGATAATGGCTCCTGTGTACTGCCGCCTAAAGCTCTTTATTGGAACTCAGCACCATGTGACTGTTTAGTCCTCTCTGAGCTGCGAGTTTGTGTTAGGAGACCTTCTCAGGTGGGGAACTTCCTGCTTCTCTGTTGCAATCTGAATTGTCAAACAAGTGGTGAGGTTGTAAACTAAGTCTGTACTAATTCTTTCTTAGGGGAAGATGAAGAAGTGGGGTAATCATTGTGTTGCTGTTATTTTATTAAGATACTTTCAAAGTTAACAGCTCTTTGGTATTTGATATAAGAAAGTCTCTCTTATTGGATGTTAGGGACTAGAAGTTCATTGAAAGGAAGTACTACTGCAGGGAGCTGGGATAGTGATGGAATGGCTAAGGGAAATAGCTCTTGAGTATAAGCAGGGTCTTTGAGTTGAACTGACTGTGGATAACACTAATATCTTGTGCAGGGGTTCGTAGAAGAGCATTCTTTGAAGTTTAAGTTACTCAGTTAATTTATTCAACAAGTATTTATTGAATGCCCTATTACTAGATTGTTTCTAAGTGTTGGGAATGTGACCTTGAACAAAACAGAAAGAAATCTCCTCTTTCATGGAGCCTACAGTCCAATAGGGAGGGTAACTTTATAAAACAGATTTGTGTTGGTTTAAAGTAGAAAAACTTGATGAAGAAAACTTGATGATAAAATAGGAAATGAAGGATGTAGATATGAGTCAGGAAAGGCCTCTCCAAAAAGTTGACAGAGACTTGAAGGATGTGGGGAAAACAGCAGTGTAGATGTCTGAGAGCAGTGTTCTAGATCAAGGGGACAGTCAGTGCAAAGGCCCAAGGCACAATTCTTATTCAAGGCAAACAAGTATGGCTGGAGCCTAGTGAAAAGAGTGAGAGATGTCAGCCACTGTAAAGACTTTGGCTTTGTACTAAGGGAGTTGGGGAGTCATTTCAGGATTTTGAACAGAGGAGAGACATGATCTAGTTTACATATTAATAAGACCACTCTTATTCCTGGGTCCAGGTAAGAGGTTCTGTGGCTGGGACAACAGTGGTGATAGTACAGGTGGCAAAAGTGGTCAAATGGGTGATATACCTTGGAGGTAGAGCCAGCAGAATTCCAGGATAGATACAGTATAGAGTATGAGAGAGCAGGGGTCAAGCATGGCTTCCAGCTGGAAGGGTGGGGTTGCCGTTATTTAAGGTGAAGAAGACTGTAGGGAGGGCAGGGGTTTGTTTTGTTTTCAGTGGGGGTTGGGTGGAATGAAAATGTGTCCTGTGAGTTCCTTAGGGGAACAGGACTAGAGGACTCCAGGCTAGCCATTCCTGTGTCCTCACAATGGCAGCCTTCAATATTGCAGACTTCTCAAACATATAAAGACGTTTACCCCAGCATTAGGACTCAGCACTTTTTCTTGGAGAATTACTGGGTCTGGCTTGGGCTGTTGGTATGCAGAGACCTTGAGAAGCAGCCCTGGGAATTCGTAGAGGGTAGTGCCGTTGGACCAGAACTTCCTGCTGGCAGGAACCCTCGGGGATGGGTCTTCCTTCCTGGGGCCACTCCTTTTCTCTTCTCTGTCTTAGGTTATTTGTCACTGCCATTACCTGCTGGGTCCAGCCAGGGTTTCTTTGCTTCCCTTTGCTAACCACTGCAAGCCACACTGAAAGCTTCCGTCCTCCTCTCTTGTTCACTGAGCAGCACAGCCCCCCTAAATAATAATAGAAAAATATGCAAGCATGACAGTTGGTTCTTCTCTTTATTCTCCCTTGTCCTGTTTCACTATCTATTTGTAAGAACTTTGTCTTTACTGGGTTGCACTAATGTGTATTTACATACAAAAAATAATCAGAATTCATCTATCTCATTTTGTAAAAAAATAAAAATTGCTGGGGAATGAGAGTCTGGCATTTCTGGACATTTTGGCATGGTTGGGGAGGGGCTACTGCGACGAGGAGGCAGGAGAGTCATTAGGTGTTACCCTTCTCTCTTCTCCCTTTTCAAGCTCTCCCAGTGTCTGCCTGCTGCCCCCAGTCCTGCTCCTAAGAACCTCCTTTATGCCAGACAAGTTGCAGGTGCCTGCCGGTTCAGGGGGGGCGGGGCACATTAGCAGGAAAGGAAGAGTATTTGTGAATTCTAGAGCTTTCAGTAGGCAGTGGGATTATCCCAGAAGGCTTGGAGATGAGCAGGACCAGACAGGGATTTTAGGAAGATGATCCTGGTATCTATAGGAGACTGGGCACTGGAGAAGCCAGAGATGAAGAAGTTGGTTAGAAGGTGGTTAAAATAATTTGTACAAGAGAAAGTGAGGGCCTAGACTATTAGTGAGGCTTGACAGGGAGGGAACCAAAGGAAAACAAAGGCTGAGGATGGGGAGTGAGGAGGCCCTGTGACCGGCAAAGGTGGGTGGTGCAGGAGGGAGGGACTGGGCACAGGGTGACCATGGAAACAGTGAGGGCAGGGAGCGAGAGGAGGTCAGTGCAAGTTATGTGAGTTTGAGGAGCCTGTAAGATCCCCACTTGGGTGAAAATAAAGTTCCTGTAATTGCCACCTAGAGCTACTTTGAAAACAAATGGAAAAACAAGGTGAGCTTGGGGGAGATTCTGGGGCTGGAGAAAGACTTGGAAAGTTCTGAGCATAAAGTATGGTGAGTGAGGTGATGAAAATGGGATATGGGCTTCAGGGCAGCTTTCAGGAGAACATCTCTTTGTCTTTCTTACACGTATTTCCTTTAGAAACGTTTTTGTCAAGGCACGTTTGTGCTGGAAGAATGATGAAAGGTAGTTTTGCTTTTGAGCAGGGAGTAAATTATTTGTCACTAACCCAGCAGCTGCTCAGCCATTACTCATGAAATTGCCATTATCAGTCACATACACAGAGCTTCCCTTGGAATTTTGAGTTCCTTTAGCTGTTTGCAGAAAATACATTCATGACAGAATCTGCACCAGTGTGATATACCTTGTGCCCATTAACTAATCCTTCAGGTATCCGCTGGGGTCTGAGAAACAGGAGATGGCACGACCTGCCTGAGCCTCACTACAGACACACACAGAGCGTCAGAGCCCCTGTTTAGTGCTCTTGCATCTAGGGTGTTTGGCTCTACATTTCCTGTTAGATTCGTTCAGTTACCTCAGCTTAATCAGATAAACCTGGTTTGGTGACAGGTTATAATGGGTTGCACATCTCTTCGCAGTATAACTTCTTGTCTATGGAAATCTTGTGAATAGAAAATTTTAATAAGCTCACTTTTTGAAATGCTCATTATAAAGGTAATTTGCTTTTTTGGGAATATGGTTAAGTTATAATACTTAGATCCCATTGTTGTGATTGGTCAGATTATCATTTATTTTTCAAACACTTTGCTGCACAAGTAATTTGGCAATATCAGCACTACTTCATACCTGTATTGTGCAATTCTCGTACAGGCAGTAGTTTGTAATTCATTGCTCTGATTTAAAGGGTATGGCCTTTTTCTTGTAAAAGGGTTTAATAACATTTATGGAAACAGAAAGTCAATGCCAGAATTGATCCGACTAGCTTTTTGCTACTTAAAGAGCTTCTTCTTAGCTCTCCTAGGAGCTGGGAGAAGCCCTCTTGCCCCACAAGGCTAGTGCTCCAGCTGGCCCATGGCAGTTTCTGAGATTGAAATCAATCAGTGGACTGCCGCTCTGGTAACGCTGCTCTACAGGGTAATTACCACCAATCTCTCTAAGTCCACAGAACGTGTTGAAAGGGAAAGCTTCTGGAAATAGATCTGGAAGAAAATTACATATATTCATTTGGCATTGGTTGAATTTTTTTTTTCTTTGACCAAATCAGGGGAAAAATGTAGTTTTATAAGATTTGTTTCAAGAAGTAGACAATTTATAATGTTAGTATATACATTTTCAGGTAAAAATGTTGTAATGAATTACATGAGAAAATTTGCCTAAACACAACAACTGATCTTATACTATGTAATGTATTATATGTCTCTATAGTTAATGTAACATACACATAATTTTCTTCACTACTCAACTGGGCTATGGTCTCTTTAAAAAGACTCACGTGCTGCTTCTAGTTTTGTATTCCTCACAATTCCTGTCATAGTATTAGGCCTATAATAGACCATTTCACAATAAATCTGTTTTGGCTGAAACTCAAATGTAGTAGAAATTTCATGTTTCATATTTTCACAATTTGGATTTCATTTAGACCCAGAGGGAATTTCAGTACTTACCCACCTTATATTTGTATGTATTTATACTTTGTGCATGCCCATATTTGTAAATCTGATGTGTCAGGATTAATCTGTGGTATCATTTGGAGAACAATACTTAAAACTCAGGATTTAATTGATGTATTATAAAGAGGTTCTTGCTAATTGATTTTGAAGGAACAGATGGGTTGCAACACAGTTGTGCTCCTGTAGCATTATTAATGCCACGTTATTTGTGTGAGTACTTACACTAATGTATTAAACAATAGTGCTGTCATTGCTGTGTATTGCCCCTAACTTGGTAAATAAATTTGAGCAACCAAAGCTGACGAGTAATTCATTCTTTGTTTTTCAAAGATCTCATCAGAAAATTGAAGACTCTGAGGAAAGCAGCGATGAAATTCTTGCTCGTCTTACATCTGCGGTAAGACAATTTCCCTGCCCAGGGGCATGTAAATAATGACCCAGGGTCTTTGAAGGAAGTCGCTTTGGGTAGTGCTATAGAAAGATGCTCGTCCTATGGTGGCTCATCATGGTGGGAGGCCCAGGTCAAGACAAGTGGAGACACTGGCATTGACTTGCTATACTTTAATGCATCCTTTCCTGAAAGATCATAGATATTTCTGGTGGAAAGTTCCTGGAACCTTAGCAGATATGTAATGTCTGATTTTTTTTTTTATGTACAGTATGACTTAACCTAGGAAAAGTTGTGACCTGCTGCACACAGGAGGAAAGACTGTTTCATTAGGGAAAAAAACTACGTCAGCCTACAAAAGGCCAAGTTGTTGGTTTTTAACGTATTAGATTGCAACATTTCCATTGTTTTTATTTTTTAAAGCAGCTAATCGAAGTTGCTAATTGCCTTGTTGGTTGAAAACTCACGCTCTTCTTCATAGAAAAAGCTAGCTATGGCTGCTAACCGGTGAGCTGCAGTTTTGGCAAGGTCTAGTAATCCTATCTCTCAGTCTTTATCCATTGGATTGGCTTTCTCATAACTTCCCTGGCCTTCCCAGAGATTTTTTAGCTCTGCTTTAACCGTGTTATTAAAATGGTACTTGCTGAAAATCATGCTGGCTTGGGTTATGTATGTGGATGAAACTGATCTTGCACAGTTTTATATACCAGGTCTTCGCATCTGGTCACAGCTCAAAGGTTAAAAGTTGCTTTTCCTATTTTTTGGAATGAAGCTTAGAAAAGTTATTTTTGACTAAATACAGGGACTGGTTTGTAAAACTTCATGTGAAATGGAATCTTCACAGCATGTTAAGAAAGAGTAATTAGCATGGCCTTTTCAGTTTATTTATTTTTAATTTAAAAATTTTCTCTTAAATGAGGTATAATTGACATACAACATTATACAGTTGACCCTTGAACAATGTGGGTTTGAATTGCACAGGTCCCCTTTTATGTGGATTTTTTTTTTCAATAAATATCCAGTATCTGTAATTGGATGTAAGCCAGCAGATTCTATGGGTGATGTGGTCAGTAGAAATGGAAAAATGTTGTTTGAGAATCAAACCTGAGACCTTGATATTATTAGTGTCACACTCTAACCAACTGAGCTAACTGGTCACTCTCTGGACTAAAGAGAAACACCAGGATCTGAAAGGAGCAGAGATGCTGAGGCAAGTGGTGCCAGAGAAAGGAGCAGGAAATCCTTTGTCTCTTCAAAGTGTGCCCCTCCCAGCAGGGGCCTGATCCACCTGTGGGCAAGTGTCAACTAATTCATCCTCTGCTTGCTTTCTTCTCTGTTGGACATACAACCCTAACATTTATTTTCTACATTTTTTTGCATCTAAAGTTAATGGACTCATTTTATATACTGTAGGCTATTAGTGGTTCAGTTTTTGGGGAATCAAAATTTTATGTGGATTTTCTATTGCACAGGGAGTCAGTGCCCTAACCCCCATGTGGTTCAATGATCAACTGTATTAGTTTCAGGTATACAACATAATGATTTAATATTTGTTAATATTGCAAAATGATCCCCACAATAAGCCTAGTTAACATCTGTCACCATACATATAGACTTTTTTCTTGTGATGTGAACTTTTAAGATTTACTCCTTTAGCAACTTTCAAATATACAGTACAGTGTTATTTACTGTAGTTGCCATGTTGTCATTACATCCCCATGACATTTTTTATGACTGGAAATTTGTACCTTTTGACTCTTTTCACCCATTTTGCCCACTCTTCATCCCTGTCTCTGGCAACCACCAATCTATTCTTCGTTACCTATGAGCTTGGGTTTTGTTTTTAAGATTCCACACATAAGTGAAATCATATGGTATTTGTCTTACTCTCTGACTTATTTCACATCATGCTGTCAACGTTCATCTATGTTTTAGCAAATGGCAAGATTTCATTCTTTTTTATGGCTTAATAATATTCCATTGTGTATACATACCACATTTTCTTTAGTTCCCCATTCATGGATGTGTAGATTGTTTATATATCTTGGCTATTGTGAATAATGCTGCAATGAACATAGGAATGCATATATTTTTTAAGTCAGTGTTTTCTATAGTGGCTGTACCAATTTACATGCCTACCAACAGTGCACAGGGTTCCCTTTTCTCCATATCCTCACCAACACTTGTTTTTTCTTGTCTTTTTGATGTTAGCCACTCAGACTGGTGTGAGATGAAACCTAATTGTGGTTTTGATTTGCATTTCCCAGATGATTAGTGGTGTTGAATATCTTTTCATGTACCTATTGGCCATTGTATGCTTTCTTGGGAAAAAGGTCTATTCAGATCCTCTGCCCATTTTTTAATAGAATAGTTTTTTGTAATTGAGTTGTATGAATTCTTTATCTCTTTTGGATATTAACCCCTTACTAGATAAATTATTTGCAAACCTCCCATAGGAGATTGCCTTTTCATTTTGTTAATGGTTTCCTTTGCTGTATAGAAGCTATTAGTTTGATGCAGTTCCTCTTGTTTATTTTTGCTTTTTTGCCTTTGCTTTTGATATCAAATTAAAAAAATCATCAACAAGACCAATGTCAAGGAACTTACCACCTATGTTTTTCTCTAGGAGTTTTATGGTTTCAAGTCTTACATGTAAGTCTTTAATCCATTTTGAGTTAATTTTTGTGTGCAGTTTGAGATACTGGACTAGTTTCATTCTTTTGCCTATTGTTTTCCCAGCACCACTTATTAAAGATACTGTCCTTTCCCCTTTGTTCCTTTGTTGTAAAGTAACTGACTGTATATGTATGGGTTTATTTCTGGGCTCTCTTTTTGTTCTGTTGACCTATGTGACTTTTTATTGCCAATACTATAGTGTTTTGATTACTACAGCTTGGTAATATGGTTTGAAATCAGGCAGTGTAATGCATCCAGTTTGTCTTTCTCAAGATTTCTTTGGCTATTCAGGGTCTTTTGTAGTTCCATATAAATTTTAGGATTGTTTGTTCTATTTCTGTGAAAAATGTCATTGAAATTTGGTAAGGATTGCATGGAATTTGGTAAGGATTGCATTGAATTTGTAGATTGTGCAGTTTAAAATATTGACCAAAGAGGAGTGCTTATTGTGTGCAAAATCATAATAGCTGTCTGTTTTTTAAAAAACCACTCATTATGTACCAGATATGATGTTAAACATTATGTGTGTGTGTACATGCAAACATACATACACATTCTTTACAACAGTGCTATGAATTAGGTGGCATTATCTGTATTTTGTACATATGAAAGTTTGTGGAGGTTAAGTAACTTGCCCAAGGTCACCCATCTAGAAAGGAAAAAAAACAGGATCTAAACTGAGAATTTACTACTTCCTAATCATGTTCTCTTAACTACTATGCTTCATTTTTTCATAATGCAGTATAGTTATTGGGATAATTTCAGAAGTGGGAAAGATACATACAATGCAGCTCCTACAGCCATATCAGGAAGACAAGTATACTTAGAAAGTTAGCATAAAAAGTGATTGTCAATTGAGCATCAAAAATATTGGCATATAGATAGCAAATTCATGAACAGTAACAGAAAGGTTCATTGAAGAGACTGTACTTGAACCACCATTGAAAGCAGTTAGAATTTGGACAGGTGAATTCTCTTAAGTAACCCCTCTAGCTGTAGGGTTTATGGTGTACAGACAGAGAAATGAAAAAGTGCAATTGGGAAATAGTGAGAAGACATACCTGGTTAGGGAAGGTCTGTGTTAAGAAAACTGGAAGATTTTTTGAACAACCTATGAATATGATGAAGTAGATTATTAAGAAAGAAGATGACTGAATGGATTAAAGACAGAACTGTGAGACTTGAGATAGAAATCTCCTCCCAAAACCACATATAATATGAAAATATAGCAAATACAACTAATCCTGAAAGAATGACAGGAAAGACAACAACTGTCTGCCTACATTTGGGGAAAAGAGAAGATCTCATGGAAAAGGGTAAAGTAGCAAAGTTGTGATCTGGCAGTACCCAAACCCTTCCCCCACCCCAGCTCACTGGCAGGTGGAAGAGAAATGGAGCAGGGAGAGGGTGGAGGCCTAAGACTACTGAATACCCAGCCCTGGAGATCTGCTCTGGGAGCACAAACCTACTTTACGTGGTGCTCTGGAGGTTAGTGGGGTTGAAATGCTAAGACAGGCAAAATCATAATAGCCATCATAGAGACTGAGATTCCAGCCGGTTGTGGAAAACAGGGATCCACATCTAGCAGCTCTGGGACAAAAGAAGGCGGGCACTCTGAGAGACTTCCCAACAGTGAGAGGGCTGCTAAGGGGGCAAGGAGTACACAGAGTTTGTTGCTCAGGAGAAAGGTCAGGTGGACAAAATTGTCCTGGTGCACTCAGCCCAGTAGGTTGGGAACTTTCAGTAGCTTCAGGCACTCCAACCCCATGGTGGACAACTCAACACTGAGACCACCTACTGAAATATACAGCCTGCTGCTCCTTCCTCCTGGCTGGCACCAGCTCACAAGCCTGATGCCCCCTGGCATTGCACCAGGCCAGCCAGAGGGCAGCCCTGCCTATGGCAGCTAGAGGGGCATAGCATATATGCTGCTCCCTGCATGCTCAGCCTGCTGGCCCTGGCAGTGAAGGCAGGCACTGCTGCTGGGAAGGAGGAAAGAGCTCTTTTCTCCAGGCAGGCAACAGCACCCCTTGCCTGCGACCTCCGCCATCACTCCAGGTGCTGAGCAGCTCCAGAGAGTAGTGCTTCTGGGCACTAGAAAGCGCCACATACAAATATGAAACGTCAAAAGCACCTGGTACAAACCCAAATCCCACAAACAGCAGAAAGAGGGCCAAATGAAACTGAAATCACCAATCTTCCTGAGAAATATTTCAAAATAAAAATCATAAACATGCTCACAGAGCTACAGAAAAATATTTAAGACATCAAAGAGGAATTCAAGAAAGAGACAGAAACTTTGAAAAATACAGTATCCAAAATGAAACATACAA